ATGACAGTCAAAGTGCAGAGTCATGTATGTCAATCACGTGTTTCAAAATTTCTGTTCCTATCTTATATTCTTGTAGGGGAACATGCCAACTTTAAAGCTTAAAAATACAGAATATTCTGCTAATATAGACGAAAATTCAATCAAATCTAGAAAGTTTTCAAGGAATGACGTTGACTAGATTTGTAGCGAAAAATTGAGTACGACAAGAAGTCTTTAACGTATCAAACAAAGATACGTTGTTTCTTTATTTGGTCTTCGATGTGTTTTAAGCGTGGCAGTTTATTTTTTTATTATTAATTTTTTAAAAAAAAATGTTCATGACTTATCATAGCACATTTTGAGTAAAATTATCATTAATTTTTCTCAAATTTCGGAAAAAGAGACACTTTAACGCGCGTTAATGACGGCGCAGAAGTACAAGTACTCGTGCTAGATGGGTTTCGTGATGCATGTGTAAAATTGAAGGCGCGATGGCGCGAGTCGTGCTCCACGCTGCGCTGCCCATGAAAAGTCGCTCGCAGATTCGGCAGAAAAGTCAAAAAATGAGGCTCGATTACGTGTTTCCTATCTCCAGCTGTGTTGCTCACGTAGCCCTTGAAGTACTGCAACAAATAAGACAGACGGAACCAGCAAAACATGGAGATAAAGCGAGGAAAAGGACGCACCTTGCCTACGGCGCAGAGATACAACTATTCGTGCTTAATGGATGTACGTGTTGTATCTACAATATTGAAGGCGCCATGGCGTGAGCCGCGATGCATGAACTCGCAAGGTTCCCTGCTATGCTACCAACGATTATTATGAATTTTATTATGATATATACATGTTTTAAAAATTATTTTGATTATTAATACATTTTTTAAGACAATTTATTTTTATTTTTGAATTTTATTATTACATTTTTATTATGAATTTCTCAAAGGGAGGGAGACTTCCCCTCTCAAAACATTTTTTTACTAAATGATGCCAAAATCTAGATTTTCAGTCTTTTGATATATTAATGTGCATTTTCCAGCAGACAGCTACCCATGCTCAACTTAAACCAGGCATATTGGCTCAACAATTTTGATTGCCCCCGGTTAACGGGAAAAGTCGATTTTGTACACAGCGCTCTCGCCTTCCGTCTCGCTAAATGTTCTTCATGCATACTGCCGTGCTAAGAAAAAACGCCGTATGAGGCATTAGACGTTGCCAAGTTTTCTTCGATAAAAAGCGACTTAATTAGGAAATTTGTGAATATTTTCCCCCAAACTTTTCAGACAATTTTGCACGCAGTTTAATCCAAAATATCTGAAAATTTAAAGGAAAAATATGCATGAATTTCGTCGTAAAAACATGTTTTATCAAGGGATATTTGGCAACTCTCGAATGTTCATACGACGTTCCTCCTTAGCACGGCAGCATATGAAAGCTATTTTTCCTCGTCTGTATAGATCCATCAATGACATTAATTAAAAAAATAAGAAAAACCAAAAAAAAGAGGAGGGGGTAGGGGAAATCAGCAAAGCAGTTCTCGGAGCTCTCATGAAAGCATATAATCATAACCGTAAGTACTTGCATTAAAAGATCTTTTTATCTTTCATACTGCAAATAGAGCAATATAATCGACGTTATGGTAATAAAGGCACCCATTGATCCATGTTGATCCCCTCACGATTAATGTCAAGCTTAATTTGTGAGTGCTAGTGGTTCAGCTTCTGATGACTAACGCTGGAAAAAAGTTTGTTTTGGCCGCGGGTAATTCAACGCTGATGCATGGAAGCCTCTTATCTCCACACACACGAGAGTACTCTTAAAAAAGTTGAGAGAGGAAGAGAGGGGCGACTTCAATGTAGTAATAATTGGACTGAGTTGAGCAGAAAGGAACCAACCCACATTTTGTAAAAAATTGAATTATGAGTGGTTTTGAACTCAACCACTGCTCTACTATCTATAGCTTAAAATTCAAAATTTTTGTTGGAGCAAATTTTGCAGAAATTGAACTTGAAGTTTATCGTTTACATTGAGTCTTATGCAGGAGTCAACCTTTGAACCTCTTTTTCTCGGTTCCATCCCGATATGACTTGGTTCCTTTCTGTTTAACTCCGTCCAATTGCTGATTTGACACGGAGATTATTTTCCAGTGACAAAACCAATTTTCGTTCTTCCGAAAACAATATTGAATAGTAACGACATATTTGAACGGTAATTTCACACGACACTTCGTTTGCGGATAAAGATTTAAGGAGCGAATTAAAAATATGCGGTCCCTGAAGTGCTTAAACGTGAGGAAAGTGGTCCTTATCTATAATCATAAAAAACGTGCGAAGCGTTTGTCGGGCGTTCTATTGCGTAGGGTCTGAAGAGGAGTGGGGCAATCTATTAAAATAGAATTAAGTATCGAGTGCGTGCGTTTAAATACGCGTGCTTTGCGATGTATCGATTTTTATGCCATATAAACCTATGGAAAAGGATCGATAAACAGGGTGTTCGCAGCGAACACCTTAATAATCGAATCCTTACCACAGGTTTAAATGGCATAACAATCGATACATCGCAAGTCACGCCACGCCACTGATTTATTTGAAAACATCAAGCTAAGGCCGGTTTTGGCGTCCATATGGATTACTCTATTATCTTAATAAAATATTCAAAAGCCACTCACCACGAGTCGGAAAACATGTTTCTGACTAGTGAGTGACTTTTTAATATTTTATTAATTTGACCTAGTCAGGTTACTTTTCACTATTTTATAAATTATATATGGACGGATTGTGTCGCATTTCACTGAAAAGAAATCGTTATTAGATAAAGTAGAGAACATTTTTCAGGCATACGATACGTGGTCTGAAATGTATTTTGGGCTGCTAAATCCGAAAACAACTTATGTTTTTCACTATCACGCACCAGTCTCCCGGAAAATTTAATTTCGAGCGGAAAATGTGATATTGGAGAAAATCTTAATTTTCCGTAAAATGAGAGGGTATGGGAAAAATTGAGGTTATTTTTGGATTCAGCGCTAAAAAATACACAAGATTCTACAATCACATTCGCAACGTTTTTGTTAGGTGCAGATCAGTGTTATTATTACCGCAAGAACCTTTTTACCGCATGTTTCTTGGATAAAAAACTGATTTTTCATGCAAACTGTCGATATCAACGCTTTTTTCATACAAAATTCAGCTTCTGCGTGGAAAATGACCTTGGGAAACATATATCTATGCATCATGTGATGGTCGAAAATCACATGATCAACTTATGTCCGATCCGCCCGATTCCTCGATCATTAGTTTGCCGCCGGCACGTTTTTTGAGAGGAGTTCTTCATTATCGATGCTCATCGGTACGCTTGTTGCCTATCCCGCAAGTTGCAGGCGAACTTCTGATGGACGAAACCGACAAAAGGTTCCTTCGTTTACTATAAATCGAATTAAAAGCGTTGGTCGAGATAATTGTATATTTTCTGACTATAGAGAACTATTTCCACTCCTTGGTGCATTTTTTTTTGCATATCCGGATGAATTTAAGATGAGCTATACGTAGATGAACTTTGAGAATTGTGAATCGTGTATTTGGCTCGATCAAATCATGCGGGGATTTTATTTGTTGATCGTTTTTATGGTACGTTTACTTGTTTTGCTATTCGGTGGTTGCCTATGAATCAACTTTGAAGATGAACGTCAAACAGACGACAAGGACGATTGAATTTCCTAATCTCCTAATGATGAAATCATAGCTCGCTGTGACGTATATGTATTTTTCGAATCCGGAGAAGAGAGGATGGTTTGACTTCAGTGGCGTGGCGTGCTTTGCGATAAATTGATTGTACTGCTATTTAAACCTATGGGGAAGGATCGATAAACAGGGTGTTCGCAGCGAACACCTTAATAATCGATTCTTTACCATAGATTTAAATGGTAAAACAATCGATACATCGCGATTCACGCCACGCCACTGTTTGACTTATATGGATTTAAACAGTCACGAGCATTTTTTTTATGCTCTCACTGCAAGGCTTAGGTCCGCATCAATAGAATTGTTCCTTAAAAATCTCCTTTCCTAAAATGGACAGTAAGTGACTCAGATTGTGATTGGAGAGGCTTCTAAAATATGTAGACTCATTAGAAGTGACAGGTTTTGGAATTCAACAGGATAATTTTGAAAGAGAAGCCTTAAAATGGATTATGATGATTGCTGCCAAGAAAAATGTGAAAAACAACCCAAAAGATACTTCGAATTTTGAAGATTATAAGCTAGGCATGTCTTTCTTTGAAGTTTGTGAAAATAAAAAAAATGTCTATTTCATTATGTCTATTTTATGCTGTGTTGACCGGATAGAGTCGAGCAAAACAGTAAAATCTAGATTGCAGTGTTTTAAAATATAATCATACATCCTTTTTTTTTTCGAAGGAAACCAACTAATACCCAACTGCTTCGCTTAACGCTATCCGAATATTTTTTCTTCTTCTTTTTTTCTGTTGTTTAATGCACTGGAAAAAACACATTGGATGTAGAGTCTAGACTCTTACTAAATTTGACAAGAAAAAATACTCTTGATTCAATCAGATTTTTGCTTACATCAAGAACCAAACCTCTTAATTTGAGCGGATTTCCTTTTGATTTAAGCTTAACTCTGATTGAATCAAGAGTATTTTTTCTTGTCAATGTTTTCAAGAGTCTGGACTCTAGATCCAATGTGTTTTTTTTCAGTGTGCTTTGTGTCAAGCACCTACAGCCAACTTTATATTCGAATCTTTACAATCCTTTAAAATGATCCATGCTCAAAGTTATTCAATTGAATTTCATCGAAAGCTCGTAAAAACCGCTCTCATGCATGTTGAAGACCTCATTAATCTCAACGTGGGCCAATCAGAGCCTCCTTAAGGAAAAAGCTGTTTCTAGAACTAGTATGAATATATTGCTCTGACGGATTTTCCCGGCTTTACAAGATGAAGTTTTGTTATCTGGATACTTACAAATTATCAAGCCCCCGCCGAGAGGGGGTTTAACAGATTCAAAACAACTGGAACTGATGGTACCCTACGCACACAAAGTTTGGCGTGGCACTACAGAACATGTAATAGATCCACAAACCTTTCGGTAGTTTCAAAAGTGACAGTTTCACCTATGACCAATACCATTTTTTCCTGGAAACTTTAGCTAGCTCTACTGTTTCATTCCAACAATGTGTGAGTTATTTTCTTCGAATTTTCAAATTTGTTGTCAAAGCTTTTCCTAAAATGGACCTGATAAGGTAAAGAATTGGACTACATTTTGAAATTTGGAACTATAAAGTCTAGCTCGGTTTAAAAACAACGTATGTACTATTAGTTTCCCTATGCATATACGTGTTTTTACAGAAGAGCCAGAATTTATAGTTCCAGATTGCAAAATGCAGTCGAATTACGAGTATGCATCGCAATACATGCTTCATTATCAAAATTTCAAGAATCTTACGTTGAAAATTTTCAAATTTAAAGTTTAAAAGTTTATTTAGCGATTTCTGTGTTTCACAATTGGAAGCTCCCACTTGACAAAAAACTGAGGACTACTTGAGTCAGATCGGGCACCGAACTGATTTCAACGTGTGTTGAAATAGAATATTTTTTTGCGAACATTTGTAAAGTAGTGTAACTTAAAGGAGAAGGACAGTTTTAATGAAATCCAACACTATACATTTTCTTTACCAATCAGTAAACGGTGAGTTCGGGGGTCAATTAGAGTTATGTTAAAGTTAGTTTTTTTATACTTGAAAGTTTGAATAATTCTGATTTTAATTTAAACTAAATTCCGATGAGAAAAGTTGTCTTGCGATAGGTATTGTTTTTATTCTCACCCCGTCTGGTAGTAATACATCGTTGAAACCAAGTTCTTCCATGTGGTGCAAACAATCCCGCTCGTTACTTTTTGCTCGTGAAGTTTCGAGGATTATCACAACTTGAAAATATGACTTTAATTAATTAGATTAGACATCGAATTAATCAAATATTTACACGATCATATTTTCAATTCAATTATGTATCATTGAATTTGAGGGAGCTGCTTAGCGTATGTAATCTTTAAAATTTACCATAATGGATATGCCAAAACATTTATTCAGTAAGTTTAGTAGGATCATGCGGAAAAACGTTTTTGAGTGATTTTTTTTTTCACTCAGCCCTTTAATCACCCATATTAAATTCCGGCTCTTATATCCGTCGCAGGCAATTAGTCAAATCAGAGATTTTATCAAATGCCTTGGCAGATAGTCAAATGTTGACAGTTTATGAAACTTTGTACATTTATGGTGAAGAGCTAACGAATTTTCAATGTTTTGAGAAAAATACTTCATCAAGTATACAAACTCTTCTTGTTCCTTCCTCTTTAAATGCCTCTCATATATTCAAATGTTAAAAGCTTAAAATTCTGTCTTTTATGACATGCTGATAACATTAAGATGAGTGTTCATTTAGGAGCTAAAAATCGTTTTAAATAATATTGCAAGATCCATATTTTTACAAAAAATCCTCATTAACTAGAACAATTTATTATTTTTCCCTAATTTAGGAAAAGAACCAGAATAGCTTTCCACGTAAGAAAATTTGACTATTTGCCTAGGCGATTGACAAAATGCCTGATTTTACTATTTGCCTGCGACATATCTAATCTGAATATTTTAAAGAATATTGAACCATAAATACTCTCAAGTGTTTCAAGTCCCAACAACGTTTGATTAGAGTTAGTCCTTGTGCTTAGTTTAATGCTAGCTATGCAGTCTTGTAAATCTTTGTGATATGGGAGTGTCAAACACACTAAGTCTCTTGTTTATCCCTCACAAGAGCAATATCTCATTAGTATTAGTTTCATGATGACGATCAACCAATTCTTGACTCCCATTGCGTGCGTTAAATCGTGGGGCATTAAGCGCCTTCACTCACCAGTGAATGCAACACGGACAGCTTTCGATCACGAATAATTGTTCTGAAGCACTTTAATTAAAAGCAGTCATTATCAAGGATTCTACTTAGGAATTCCTTGCCGATTCTTTCATCACTTCGTGGCTTTTTTACGCCAGGGATGTCTCCTTCGAATTTTGTTTGCGATTGATATGCAATGATTTTTTCCCTTTTTTATAGCAAAAATATCAGGGAAGCGATCAAAGGAAAAATAAATTAGGTCTCTTGATGCAATTAGTGAAAAAGATTATATGATCTTTTAAACAGAGCCAAGGAAAAACACTAACCTTTTAGTGATAGGTGGAAACCTTCACCTAATTGAAAGTTATGAGGCTTCATCTTTTTATAACCAATATTTTTTCACCCTTTGTAGCCGTTTGAGATCATTTGGGGAAACGTTACTTCACCCGTGAGAGTCTTTCGGGAAACTTATTTCTACGATTGAGTATCGGTCTTAAGCTTTTGAACTACCCGCCAGTTGACTGATTTCCTTGGGGTGATTCAATCTGCAAAGTTTACCAAATTCCAGCTCGTTTGTCAAACAAAATCCTTTGCGTGTTGTTAAACACCTACCAAATGGGTAAGCCAACAGTTAAGTTTTAAAGTCCCAATATTAAAAAGCTTCCATCTTCATATTCTAATGTAGGGTCTCTCCATGTCTTTATTGCTCTATAATTTTCGCACATTAACAACAAGGAGGAACAAGTTTTGCTGAAATTTTAAACGTCATACATATATATGATACCCTCCTTTCCAGGACCTCAAAAAAACTGAAAAAAAAAAAAAACTCAGGCCTTGTAAGCCGTACTTACGGGCCACATAGACATATCGTTCACGTTCCGGGCTCAGAGGTCAAAAGTTTCGGGCTAAGTACCCGAAAATTGAAACTACGGCTCCATCACCCGGAGCAATCGATACGGTTCTGAAACGAAAATTGAGCCCTACACGTAAAAATTATTCATGTTCTCCTTGTGCTGGGAGAATAGCGCGGATCGCTCGCCGGACAGCGGCTCAGCGAGGAGGAAATGTTGTGACGTCATAGGTTAGATTTTGCTCTTGTTTCCCGTGTGAACCGCGGCCAGCCCTAGATTGATCAGCACTTTTCGTGAGATGCTATTGGCGTAAAGGGGCAGGACGCGCGGGACGTAGGAAGCGGCGGTGCACGGTGACGCGCGTTTTCCGGAAAATTTCTAAACTCAGTCGCTCATGTTCGCCGGGATGGGAAATGTCGCGATTCCGTGTAATGTCCAGGTGCACGTAAAATTCCATCCCTGAGTCCTCAAAGTGTTTTTCGGCGGTGTCGAATCAACCTCCGTAGACCTCTGGAATAGAGGATCAGCACATTAGAGTCGTCCGACCGTTGCCTCCCGCCAAGTCACTGAGTGCGGTTCAACCCTTCCGTCAACGTTTTGAGTGAAAATTCGTCAGCAGCCTCCGCGAGACCCCCGGCATAGAGGATCAGCACATTAGAGTCGTCCGACCGTTGCCCCCGCCAAGTCCTGGTGTGCTAGCTGTAGTTTTTGTCTATTTTTGAGTTTCGGTTGTTTTGGAGAGTTTTTGGAAGTTTGGAAGATTTTGAAGAAGATTTAGTTGTGTTTTTCGGTTTCGTTGTTCTGAAATTTGATTCGTGTATTCTGTCTATGATTATTAAATCAATCAATCATTCATTTAATCAATCAATTGTTGTCTTGTCATCATTCAACCATGTGAGCTATCCGTGGCTCCTAAAATTCGCGGATTGGTGGAGACTTCGCCTCTTAGGCGCCCCCGAAATATTCACGCTCTTTACGCCCCCAGAGCGAGCCCGAGTCAAGTGCGTTGCCGGGCGAGATTTACCCCTTTCAGTTCCAGCACCCGGAGCAATCGAAACTACGGCTCCAGCACCCGGAACAATCATAACTACGGCTCCAGCACCTGGAGCAATCGAAACTACGGCTGCAGCATCCGGAGAAATTGAAACTACAGCTCCAGCACTCGGAGCAATCGAAACTACGGCTCCAGCACCCGGAACTTTCGGCCTCTAAGCCCGAGATGGACGGTATGTCTATATAGCCCGTAACTTTTTTTCAGCGAAGGAGAGATAAAAAATGTTTTTTGTGGATTTATGTGAGTCTTAAAAGCCGCTTGATCACTAAGTTTTGAAATCATTCGCAACAACAATCTAACATTATTCACTTCATTGATAGAACAATAAACATAGGTTAGGAGCTTTATATATATATATATATATATATATCTTTTAGAGCGCTCTTTGGCGCTTTACGACGACTGACCGCCACAAAGCTCGATCTTTCCACAGGTCATCAGGGAGTTGACACTCCCTTATCTCGTTTAACACCCCCTGTCGCCAACCTCTCACTGGGCGTCCCCTGCGTCTCCTCCCAGGATTAACCCAATCAATCATCTTTTTTGGCAGCCTCTCTTCCGTCACCAGCATATCAATCATACGGTTACCAAATCGATTACTCGATACAAACTTTTGTGTCCGCAGATCTTTCCCGGAGAGCAGCACCAGCCCAAAACGATGTGCACCCAGCATCCAGAAAGCCACGTCCTCAGAGTAATGTGCGTCCCTGGGTGTCCCGTGGACTGTTCACCATGGCCATACTCACCCTATACCTATGGCCCTCCGTCCTGGGGTCCATCTTCCCCCTGAACCAAGACCGCTGGCGTCCGTACTTCCACTACTCCCCACACTACGGCTTCATGAACGACCCGAATGGTCTCGTCGAGTACAAGGGCGAGTATCACCTCTACTACCAATGCAACCCGTACGCTCCGATCGTAGGCCACGTTCACTGGTGCCACGCTGTGAGCCGAGACCTCATCCGTTGGGAGCCCCTTCCGATTGCTCTCTTCGAGTACAACAATTCGATGCCCTTTAGTGGTAGCTGCGTCGTCTACAACGACTCACTCGTGGCTGTATACACCCGCTCGTATGACACGGGGATTCAGACGCAGAACATGGCCATCAGTCACGATAATGGGCGGACTTTCGCGGAGTATCCAGGGAACCCTGTCATTGACGAAGGATCCTTCTCTTTCCGAGACCCGCAGGTAACGCTCGTGATATTTAACACAGTTAATTATTTTAGAATTTACGGAATTAACGGAAGAGAGGCTGCCAAAAAAGATGCTTGGTTGGGTTCCTCCTGGGAGGAGACGAAGGGGACGCCCAGTTAGAGGGTGGCGCCAGGGGGTATTAAATGAAAGGAGGGAGTGTTAACTCCCTGTTGACCTGTGGGAAGACCGAGTTTTGTGGCGATTAGGCGTCGCACAGCGCCAAAGAGCGCTATAAAAGCGACTCATGTATGTATGTAATTATTATAATAAGCGTATCCGCAATGTTAAGGTGCGCGAGATAGTGTGTGGAGAGTGACATCGTGCACTATATACGGTCCCAGCAGTTGGTCTGGTATGGGCATGTGCGAAGGGTGACAGACAATCGGTTGCCCAAGCGGGTTTTCGATTGGGTTCCTCCCGGAAGGCGACGGCGTGGACGTCCTGTGAAAGGTTGGCGACAGGGAGTGGAGGAGGAGATCAGGAGGTGCCAATGGAGATGTTGCATGTGTGAGGAATTTGCGATTTGACTGTTGATTCTTATGTAAAAGTTTGCGAGAAACACGATGGTGCCACTGGTTTTCTCTGAAATCAACACCCGAGCTAAAAAAAAGCTCTAAAGTCGAGGCCGAAATGGAGGGGATATCCCACCCTACCCTGAGAGTCCACCTATACATCAAGACGAACTCTCCATGCAAATATAGGGAGCAAATACATTGACAGGGCTGCCACTTGATTTGGGGACTCTGATACTGAAGACACGGCATCCCTGCTAATGTATTTGCTCCCTATCTTTGCATGGAGAGTTCGTCTTGATGTAGAGGTGAACTCTCAGGATAGCGTGGGATATCCCCTCCATTTTGACCTCAACTTTAGAGCTTTTTTTGAGCTTGGGGGTTGATTTCAGAGAAAAGTAGTGGCATCATCGTGTTTCTCGCGAACTTTTACATAAGAATCAATGGTCAAATCGCCAATTCCTTGCAAATGCGACATCACCATTGCCTGATGATCTCGGAGAGGATAGATGGCAATGGCGGTTGGGCATCGTCGCAGAGCGCGAAGCTGCGCTATAAAAGCGGCTTAATGTATGTAATTATTATAATATTCTAATCCCATCACGGGCAGAACTAGGAATGAACCAGTAGAAAATGTACGAATCTAAGCATCCTGGTATATGTTTCTTGACAAAAACGTCACGTGGAATATGGTTTGCTCAACCAAAAGTACTAAGACTAACTCCTAACCATGATATTGAATGTTTCTTGACGCGCGAATTTAAATCTCCCGCTTATATGAAAAAACAGAAAACTAATATCTTTATGGTTAGTTGAAAAAACGTCTCAAATCGTGAGTCAAATCGCGCACTAAACGTTACCGTTGCAGTCTGCGCGGTATGTGAGTGGCAACTTCCCTGTCAGTGCTTCGACTCAGATGTTGCACGTTGCGAACACTTTGAACAACACAAGGTGAGGAGGGAACATTACTCAATTTAGAAGCCTGCCAAACCTGTTTTTGTGCGCTATTTGATTCTGGCAGGCTATAGTTTTTTCCTGTGAACCTAATTCGAAATTCCCGTGAGTAATGCTAAAAAAATATAGAAACGTTAATATCCTAGGTAGGAGTTGATTTCAGTAATTTTCGTCGCGCAAATCGTGTCCTACGTGAAATTTTGGTTTTGAAAAATGTATCAGAATGCTTAAATTCGAACCTTGTCGACTGACCCGGTGTGTGTGAATGAGGAGGGGGGGGGGAGTTCTCAACTTTAAAGTAGAGTCGTAATTGATTCAGTCACATCTTCAAAACAGGAAAAGAATAGTATTAGCCGTGCTCTGTTCGCAAATATTACTATTCTGTTCCCAGGTTGGGGACAAGTTGAGTAAATTGATTTGTCTGCGCTGGCCAGAAAATCGTGTCATGATGGTTTAAGAAAATGTATTAGCACACATAAATATTTCTTCGTTCGATATCGACGGAGATATCACCCATCGTAAAATACGGCGTATGGCAGCATGCTGTCGCTTCTTCCATTTTGGTTCTGTCCGTGTTTTACGTTGAGTAACTATTGTAGATGTGTATTTACTATGCGGTATGCACTCCCAGGTAGCATTAGTCAAAGGAAATTGAAAGGAAATGACTTATGTAAGTGATATTTTGAAAAAGAGATGCGACTTTTTTTATGATTTTTTGCGATAAAATCGCTAGGGTCATCAACATCTAAGCAATTATCCTCAACCTTGTCGCAATTTTATCTCTATGAAATCGAAATATTTGTTCAATTAATCACGATTTTCTGTTCGATATCGCGACAAATCGCCGTAGATAAAATCGCGATTTTATTGCAATTTGGGTTGCGGTACTATATACCATAATATTAATTGGAAAGGTCCACACCATCCAACAAATGGGAGTAGCACCACAATTGGACAGCGTCAAGGTGACTCGATGGACACTATATCTTGTGTCGGAACGACATGCGATCTATCGCATTGATTGGTTCCATTTTTTCTTCCTTATCGTCATTTTTCTCGAATTTCGAGATCGCAATTCTGTTGCCGGGAGACTAAAAAATTTACTTGTCAATTTTGACAAACAAATTCAACGTAATAAAGGCGTGGTTTTTTTAAAGGAAAAGTATCGCATTCGAGTGCAGTTCCGATATCAGTATTGTATGCGAAATTTTTCCTTTGAAAAAAAACCGCCACTTTATTACTTTGAAATTGTTTGTCAAAATTGGCAAGTGAGTCCTTCAGTCTCCTGGCAACAGAATTGCGATCTCAAAATTTGATAAAAATGACGTGCAGCTAACAAAAAGGAACCAATTGATGCGATATACCGCATGTCGTTTTGACACAAAATGTAGCGTCCATCGAATCACTTTAAAATCAAATAAACATAATCCAGGCTGCGGTTAAGTCATTCATACGCAAATCGAGCCGAGCATATCAGAAATGTCTACCACTCCGAAGGTGTGGATTGGATCGAGAAAAAAAACTTGAATCGATCGAAGTAGACCGATCGACATTGATTCGATCGACAAATTATTGGAAAACCGGTGTCGATTCGATCGGCATGAATCCATCAAAAAATAAAGTGCGGGCCCCGACATATATGCGCAACGCATGAAGTATCATGCAAACTTGTAAGGCGCCACTACGCGCTGCGTGCGCCGTGCTGTACGCGCAATGCATGAAGTATCCTGCGGTCTTGTAAGGCGCTACAATGCGTCCCGTACCGTGCGCGCCAGCACCGCGCCGCGCCAGCCGCACTTTGTTTGACGTCATTATTCAAACTTGCGGCGTGAGCGGTTTTGAACTTATGATTTTTAAGTTTCTGTACAGTTTGTTATATTTCAAATGATAAAACATCACATAAAACCCAACCAATTTTCTTCTCTTCATTTACATTTTTGTAAATAATTCTTAATAGAAGCATGCAAGTGAAATGGCTACGAGCAGGCTCCCTTCAGCGATGTGATGGCGTGACCATTGGACTACATTTTGCTATTCGGACCCACAACTTTTTTCTTAGGCACCCTCAATTTCATCTCATTAACTGCAATATTGCAATGCAATATTTGAATGCAATATTTTTATTCTAATAAAACCGAATCCATCCGAGAGGTCGGACATGACATTTTTAACTGTAACTGCAAATTTTGATCTTCATTTCGTCACATTTTAAATTCCAAGGAGTGTTCATAGTAGAAAATTTCCCGAGGAAACCAACGGACCCACTTCTAGAATATCAAAGTTTTGTATGAACGGAGTTATAAGCGTTTAAAAGTTTCCGAATCTTGTCCGACCTCTCTAATTCGTCGTCTCCCGCACGAAGGAACGTAACCGCATTCCAGGGTTGCCAAATTGACTTAAACAAGTGATTTATTTAAAAACGTTATACCCGTGCAATTTTCATCAAAAATTGTTCCGATTTTTGAAAGATCTCTGAAGAAAAATCCGTGACATTCTCAGTTAAGAATACCCAAGATTCTCCTAGTTACTGAGCAATTTTCGAGGGGAAATTTGGCAACATGGAACTAAAGTTACGTTCTTTCGTGAGGGGAACGACGAATGGAGATGTTGCATGTGTGAGGGATTTGCGATTTGACCATTGATTCTTATGTAAAAGTTCGCGAGAAACACGATGGTGCCACTGGTTTTCTCTGAAATCGTCTCCCAAGCTCAAAAAAAGCTCTCAACTTGAAGCCAAAATGGAGGGGATATCCCACCCTACCCTGAGAGTCCACCTCTACATCAAAACAAACTCTCCATGCAAAGATGCCGTGTTTTCAGTTTTGAAGTCCCCAAATAAAGTGGCAACCCTGCCAATGTATTTGCTCCCTACACGGAAAAAACGAGTTTAGGGCTGGTACCTGCACCGAAGGTTCCATCCCTAACCGGGTAGGTAAAATTGCTTCACCTCCACCGCCAAAGGGGCAGGCCCGGCGCGCGTAGAGCCCAAATCTACCTACTTCAGGGTTCAGCCCTACCTGGTAAGAGCTGCACCCTGTCCAGGTAGGGCTGGGCCTTACCCCCGTAGGGCCTGCCCCTGTGGCGGTGGAGGTGAAGCAATTCTAGGGCCCAGCCCTAATCTCGTTTTTTCAGTGTATCTTTGCATGGAGAATTTGTTTTGATGTATAGGTGGACTCTCAGAGCTGGATGGGATATTCCCTCTATTTTGGCCTCACTTTGAGAGCATTTTTTGAGCTTGGGAGTTGATTTCAGAGAAAACCAGTGGCACCATCGTGTTTCTCGCGAACTTTTACATAAGAATCAATGGTTAAATCGCAAATCCCTCACATGTGCAACATTTCCATTGACTCGATCGACTGTGTGACGTTTAAAACAAAGACTGCCCTTGACTGCCTTCAGGTATTCTATCACATTCCAACCGGGGAGTTCAAGATGGCGGTAGCCTTGGCGGGCGAACACTGTATCCGATTCTACGGCTCGGCGGACCTGATTCACTGGCGAAAATTGAGCGACTTCTGCAAAGCCGGGAACCAGGGCATCAACTACGAGTGTCCGAACCTCGTCCGACTCCCGACAGAGGGCGGCGGCCACAAATGGGTCCTCTTCATCTCCATCAACCCCGGTGCCCCGCAGGGCGGCAGCACGACCCAGTACTTCGTCGGGGAATTCGACGGCACCACCTTCACCCCGGACGACTACGCCACGAAGCCCCTCGACTTCGGGAAAGACAACTACGCCCTCCAGTTCTACTCCAACGTGGACCCCCCGACGGCCATCGCGTGGCTCAGCAACTGGCAGTACTGCAACGAAACCCCGACGGCGACCGATGATTCCGGGTGGCGCGGTATGATGACACTCCCGCGGACATTCAGGCTGGTCCCCACGGCGGACAACGGGCTCATTCTAGCGCAGACACCTCTTTTAAACCATGTCCAGCGGGCGGCGGTCGAACATGGAGACAACAGCAGGCGCGTCCTCCCCAAGGGCAATAAGCCCCTGGAGATCTGCCTGAGTGTGAACCTGAAACGTGGGAGTCGCGTTGTGCTTTACCTCCAGAGTTCGTTCGACGAGCAGCTTGAATGGGGATACGATGCCAATAATGGGCAGTTGTGGGTGGATCGCGGGAAGACCAAGGGGTTCAGGCAGCGGTTTTTTACCGATAAGGTGTCGGCTGCTGTTATACCCGAGTGGACTACTAGCATCGACCTCTGTGCGATCTATGATAGATCCTGTTTCGAACTGTACGCTGCTAACGGGACTCGCGTTTGTAGTAGTCTCGTCTTCTTCAAGTTGGACCCCGTCCTTCTTCAGGTCGAGATCGTCGGCGAGGGCGACATCACCAACTTGACGGTGAACACTCTGAGCCTGTGATCTGTCGTCTTAAGGTGATTTTATGTGGATTACATTTTGCAAAAAGGAACCAAGAGCATTCTGATGTTGCTAGGATTGTGCAACTTACACTCTTCGCAAATAATTACTGATATCATGAAAAAAATTAAATTTACAACGGTAATATTTGAATGGAATTCATAGTTTATCGGGAGTAAAGATAATACTTGTTTGGTTGACCAGTTTCTATTTGCAAGGTCAAAAAAGCTGCACAATTTTAGCAACAATGGAATGCTCCTGGTTCCTTTTTGCAAAATGCAATCCATGTGATCCAGGGACGAGATTCGCCACTACACTGGAAAAAAAGATTCGTAGAATTTACCATTCCTTCACGTTGTATTTCACACAGCGTGAAGGAATGGTAAATTCTGACAATCCTCAAGTCGATTCTGCCAGAGGAATGGTTACCTGTACCAGTACATAGTGACGTTTACCTTTCTTCTGGCAGAATTGACTCTGAATTAGCGCTGTGTGAAATACAACGTGAAAGAATGGTAAATTCTACCATTTTTTTCCAGTGTACGTTGCGCTGCTATACGGTTTTTGTCTTTGAGAAGCAAAAATTATCAATACTTACAAGTTAATGCAAGGGACTGATCTATAACGTGTTGCAGCATTAATACTACGAGTACAAACATCAAATGTGTAAGGATTCATTGTAAATTTTTACCTGAAATTGCAATCGAACGTAGCCCATTGACTCAATGTGTAAGAGAGAAATAGCGCTATAATGACTCTCTTCCACAAATCTACGCACATTTGATGTCATTCTACTCAGTATTAATGCTGATACGCGTTATGGATCAGTCTCTTGCATTATCTTATACATTTACGATAATTATTGCTTCTCAAAAACGTAAGCCGTGAGACAGCGTAGCTTGGTGGCAGATCTCGTCCCTAGATCACATAGAATCACTTTAAAGCGAATTTATTCGTTGGATTGGATACATTTTCTGAGTCCGATGAAATTACTGACATCGGTGCCATTAGTGGGGCCACAGATCCATCTATCAGTACGGACCAATCATAGAGCTTCCAAACAGATCTACCAAGTCCTCAGTGATTAGTCGAATTTTCGCGAGTGGACTTGGGTGAAGTTTTTGACTTCCGGCCAACCTCCGTTACAACAAAACAAAATTTTCTCCAGGCAAAGGTGCGCCTACACCATTTGGTTTTCATGGAGGTGAAAACCAGAGCTAAAACGCTTGAGAAAGTAAAAACAGCCGAGAGGCACTGCAGATTCGAATTCGAGGGTAGGTGAAACCTCAGAGATATGTCCTAATAAAAAGACATGCAGAATCTTAAGTTGTACAAATGAGCTTGATCATGTAAACTTAATCTTGATATTTTTTCATGCAGAATAAAAACATACGAGCTTTGATGCAGAATTTTATTTTATATCATTTTTATTTCTTTCAAACTTAAAATCTTTACGTTGTGAGCAAAAGCGTATTAAAACTAGGTTTTTACTAATTATGTTAGAATCAGGAATTTTATTTGAAGTTTTTAGAAGAAGATCGCATCGACTCCACAGGTGATTTCTCCACAGGAATAAGCCGAAGAGAGGCAGCTTCCGCTGTATCTGTTGGGAAACAAAACAAGCGTTCAAGAATGGACCATTGAACAGAGTAAATACTTTAAGAGCCTTACAAAATATCGATGTAGAAAAACTAGGGACAATCTGGACAATCTCTTTTTCAACGGAAAAATCGCGATATTTTGAAATTAAGTTGCGATTATTTTTACGACTATTTGGTGATGAAATCGCCAGGACTTAGAACATCTGACCGGTTTTCCTTGATCTTGTCGCAATTTCGGCGCTTGAAAGTCAAGTTCGATAATATTGCGATATATTGCCGTCGATAAAATCGCGATTGTATTGCAAATTTATGTGATGAAATCGCAACTAGTGACAATCTATCCCGAGTAGCATTTTCCAACGGAAAAACTGCGATATTTTGAAATTAAGTTGGGATTTTTTTTTAGCAATTTTTCAGAGATAAATTTGCTAGGTCGTATGACAATGAAAAAAATATGTGCATATGCAGCACGCGTCATAATTTTTTTTAGGTGACAACAGGAAATATTAGATGCAAAATGGGCTTTTAATAAATTGATTTAAAACCGAATAACATAATATATGTGATCTCATGCAACTATACTCTGGTGGCAAAAATGACAAATTACATGTATGTCATTCCATGCAACCGATTGTGGCCAATAAAAATGAACATATGGCTAATATTCACTTTGGTCTATATTTGATACTTGATATTTAATCTATGCTGGTAAAACTAGTGTTCTCCTAATATCTAATCTCTGGTAAGACTACTGTTTTCTCTTTTTTTTCAATGAATTGTATTTACGCATGTTTTTCATGTAACATTTATTCTTAGGGTTTTTACCATACTTGCATAGAATCACATATATGTAATTTCTCCGTCTATTTTTTTTTTATCAAAGTTGCATGGACCTACATATATGTAAGTACCACTTTAGGGGGCCGTTTGGGGGGGGGGGGAAGAGCCCCCTCCCGCCCAAAAAAAAATTTGGGACTCTGTTTTTTTCAAAGATCTTTCAGAATTTTTTTTTTTCATGCAATAGATAGGGTTAACTGTTTTAACATCGGAAAAAATATTAGTATAAATGGAATGGGTACTTACCACGCCATATTTCCTCATTCACCAAGGATAATAATCGCTTAAAACTTTCCGGTAACTCCTTCATGGGCTCCGCGGGAAAAGGTGCTTTCGAGTCGTTCATAGCTGATCTTCTAATCCAATCTTGCCACCTTGTGGTAGGAACTAAAAAGAATTGGTTTTATTCTGCGTTATCTTACAACGTATAGCTTACCGACACAGATGAAATTACAGCGAAGTGCTTATATTTTCCGAAAAATATGTGTGCGAGCCTGGCACCACACTCATTGAGCATTTTGATCAAAAATTACAAAAAGTGTGACAAACATAATCGACTAAGATTGCAAATACCCTGAGATACTTTTCTCAGTCTTTTCATTTTCCTTTTGTTTGTTTGTTTGTTTGTTTGTTTGCTTGTTTTTTTATTTTTTGGTTTTTTTTTTGTTTTTACTTCGGAGGAGTAAGCACTTCAGTTATAGATAGTACAATTGATGGGCCACTGACCGCAAGTCAGTCATATATACTCTAATGCATTTTTTGAATTGGTAAAAAATAAAACATTTGTTAGAACACGGGCAAACCTCCAGATAATAGAAAGTGGGAGAAAGAAATGGAGAACTAAAATTTGAAAAAAAAGGAAATATGAAGGAAAGCCATGGATGAGCCGGTAATTCTGTATTTCAAGGTTTTGAAGATTCTTGGATTTTTTGGAACTATGCGTCCGTGCCTGATATTATACGGGGTTTCATTTTCAAGCACGAACTCAAACTTCTCGCTCATGAGAAAAGCTATAATCTGCATTCTACATTACTTCACACATTAAATATTACCGTAATTGTCTCTGCGGTATGAAAATATGATAACCTTTACAGCGGCGCTTTAACTCAGCTGTTGCAGTTGTTGACACTTTGAACAACACAGGGCGCAGAGGGAACACTGCTCGATTAAGAATCCTATCGAAATCATTGCAGTGCGCCGTTTGACTCACTTAGACTCTGGTTTCTCTCGTGAGCAGGGAATTTAAATTGTTCGAAACCAATGCTAAATAAAAACGTGAGTATGACAGTTAAAAGTAAAATTTTGTAATTTTTGTTGCGTTCTTCGTTTACTACCTGAATTTAGAAGAGAAAATATACAACTAGAATGCTTAAATTCGTATCTTGTAGTGTCATATTCTCGAACTTATCAGGGAACATTCGTTCTTATTTATGAGTTTAATTTTCTTAGGTGTCCGTCGTCTAAATGAAATTTTGATGGGAACTTGTGTGTGAGAATGGTCAATTTCTTTTCCTTTTTAAAGGTCCATTTGCGATTGCATGGTAAAATTATTGTTACTGCGTCAGAACGTTGTGCATGTTGCTCATCCGCTGATTGAAGGGGCTCCTTTCGTTCGAGATTTATTATATAAAAATAAGATGGAATTTTCTTTGCATTTTAAAATGCATATATCTTTGAGACATAGGACTTGTCTCGATCTACTAAACGTGATATTTACGGACTGAATGATAAAGATATTGGAAATTTAATCTGCGTATAAGTTAATTTAAATCCCCAATCAATTTGTCTCTTATTGATTATGGGTTTTTCGTGAGCGAAGAGTAAGAAGGTACTAGTTAAAAACTTAAATTATAAAAATGTATATACTTCACTCGTGAATTATTTTGAAAGCGTTTGATACGTTTCGATAATCAGTGCCAATATTAAGCAGGTTGGCAACACTATTTTTCCTTCTTTTAAATCCATTAAAAATATCGAGGTTAGGTGAAGAATCGACTATTTTACATGCATTCAAATGGAGGAACTACAATGTTACCAACTCTCAAGAATCGCCACTGCGTTCAACGCACGTGCTGTACGTGAGATTTTGATGAGAGAACATGTGCCGTCGTACCAAACAACTTATCCTGTCTGCTGCCATATGCTGTTAAGGTGATTCGATGAACGCCATATTTTGTGTCAGAACAGCATGCGATATATCGCATCAATTGGTCCCATTTTTTCAGCTACTCGTGATCTTTCTCGAATTTTGAGATCGCAATTCTGTTGTCAGGAGACTAAAGCACTCACTCACCAATTTTAACAAATAAATTCAACGTAATAAAGGCGTGGTTTTTTTAGAGAGAAAATATTGCATTCGAGTGCAGTTTCGATATCAGTATCGAATGCGATGTTTTCTCTCTAAAAAAAACCGCGCCTTTATTACGTTGAATTTCTTTGTTAAAATTGGTAAGTGAGTGCTTTAGTCTCCTGACAACAGAATTGCGATCTCAAAATTGGAGGAAAATGACGAGTAGATGAAAAAATGGAACCAATTGATGCGATATATCGCATGTCGTTCTGACACAAAATATGGCGTCCATCGAGTTCCGCTTACGATCTCAAGAGACGCGGAGGGTATGGATGCGATCGACATGCATCGATTGAAAAATAAAAATCGACCGATCGACAAAATTCGATCGATTCCTGGGTGCGTCGAACAAAAAACGGGCTTTTCGATCGACTCACGGATTTAGGCGATCGATTCTCGGGTTTGTCAATCGATTCACAGGTTTGTCGATCAATTCACAAGTTTGTCGATCGATTCATGGATTTGTCGGTCGATTTATCGGTGTCAATCGTATCCAGAGATGAAAAATTTCATGAGATTTATTTGAGTGGAATTTCACGCGTGAAATTTCATGAAATTTATTGAAACTTTTGGGGATACATTCAGGCGGCTAAGAAACGCCTAAAAACTGTTATTCTAAATTTTGAAATTTTTTACCGCAGCCAGGAACATTCGGGCGTTGCAAATGTTTTCGTTTAGTTGAGGGGTTAGGTTGGGGGTTTTTCTCTCTGAGGTTCCTTTTTTGCCCCCTCTTTGTGTCTGGCACCTTCAGTAGAGTAGCATAATACCGCAGCATCAACAGGAAGCCCATCTGAAACGCTTTCAGACCTCTAAAGGTTTAATCAATAACTCTGAAAAAATTATTAAATTTCAACTTTTGTGAAATTTATTCGAGCCTTATGAAATTTCACTTTCCATCGCTGATGGTATCGACTCCAGTATTTCAATAATTTTTCATCGAATCAGTGTCTACCGGTTCACGTCGACGATTCATGTCTTTAGTTTTCGATCGATTCATGTTAATCAAATCTACAACCTCCAAGAAACACCTAGGTTTAACGTATCACTCACATTCCAAAACTTTTGTTTTGATTCATCGGTGTCAACCGTATCGACTCCGGTATTTCAATAATTTGTCGATCGAATCAGTGTCGATCGGTTCACGTCAACGATTCATGTCTTTAGTTTTCGATCGATTCATAATGATCGAATCTACACCCTCCGAGAAACACCTTCGTTTAACGTATCACTCACCTTCCAAAACGTTTGTGAGGACCGGCAGTCCCGACGAATCCTCGAGTCCAAGGGCCATTCTAAGTACTCTGAGCAATGTGCCATCCCCATGCAGGGTTAAGGGTTTCCGCGAATCGAAGCTCATCGGTTCCGTATCCCGAAATGTGAATAGTACTGTCCCCTTCTGTTGGTATAAATGATTCCTTTGGAAGAGCTTTGACTCGAGATAGAAGCTGATCCGAGGCTGGTCGTCCTGGGTTATCTGGGTTTTCAGCTGTCGTCAAAAAAAAAAAAAAAAAAAAAAAAAAAAAAAAAAAAAAAAACATAATTGTATTGGATTTACTTTTAGAGCCATATTCGAAGCCATTCTTTAAATGAAATAGTCATTAAATAGGTATTAGTTATCTAGTCATTGCATTTTACTTCAGGAAAGTTTAAGAAGATCCTTGACGTCGCACCCAAAAAAACGAACAATTGCAACGAATCTCCAATAAAATTCAACGGAATAACTTCATACATATACAATCAGAAAAAAATACGTAGATTCTGCAAGGGATGACATTCCCACTTCAAAAAATAAAATATACAACAGAAAAATATTTGCAAGTATTGCGAATTTGAATTTATGGCGATTATTGAAAGTTGGCAACAAGGATTTTCTTCCATTCAAATGTGTGTAAAACAATCGATTTTTCTCACCTAAAAACTATATTTTTATTGGACTTGGTTGGATGTAGTTATCTTCATTGTGGTTAGATCCACCCAGTGGCTCTTTCTAGAAGGGATTAAACTAAAGCACCGTGCAACTCAATTTCACTTCAACATTTCAAGAAGGAAACTAATCACACAACGGGAAGTCAGGAAATCTATTTACGAGCAACATGTAAGTGTTTACGAATAACATTTTTCAAAGAGTAAACATGAAAATGAAACAATCCGTTTACTACGATTTCCAATCAACCTGTCTTAAAATTACTCGTCAATATCTCGTTAATATCTCGTCAATATCTCGTTTTTGAGTTGATTTCTGTCCTGCAATATAAATCTGTTTTGAAGGGCCGGATTTACCTACTTGCCGCCCATGGATCGCCTGTATTTTGCCACCCCTTCTCATTCGTTTTGAAACATTAATAAAAACCATCAAGTGAACGTGCAGCGGGGAGGGGTGCATAAGACGCGTTTACTCGTGTTGGACACATTTTTTGCGAAGTCCTGTCAACGTTACCAGCAAAAGCTAATGGAACTTTGCGTGAAAGTTAAGTTCCGTAAACCTATTTCTGTGTGAACAAGGCCTTTTATTTATAAGAAATGAACGAAAGAATTATGAAAGAACAAAGTGACCACTCTGTGTTTGGCGCAATGCGTGAAGTATTCATTCAGTCTACTAGGCGCTATGCGTCTCATGCCGACCGCTGCTGACCGCACTGTGTTTGACGCAATGCGTGAAGTATTCATGCAGTCTTGTAGGCGCTAATATGTGTTACATGCCGACCGCCCCGCCGAGGCGAGGGCTTCTCCTTTTCTACTCAAGTCCTCGTCATCATTGCTCTCTGCGCCGCGCCGTGCCAGACCAAATTGCGTGTTTGGTTTCTTTCTTAACTCGACTTATTAAAGGTGCTGTCTCTTGTATCACCGAAAGACGACAAAATTAGAAATTACTATACTCTCAGGAAATGAAAGATTTTGTCGCTTTTTCTCGTTTGTAATTTTTTTTGTCTGAATCCGATTTTTTGTATACCTAAATTAAAATAATTGTGAAATTTGCCGTCATGGGCTGTTGCCCATGTAGCCATCCCGTAAATCCGGCCCCGCTGTTTTGAATATTTTAAAGGAAAGACATGTGACTTTTTGTTGTAGTGGCCTATAATAATAAGTTAATGAGAAGAATAAGAACTTACCAAGCCAAATTTTCTCGTTCAACCAGTATATGAATGGTTTAAAACTCTCCGGCAATGTTGATAATGGCAGCGGTGCGTAAGGCCGCGTATAGGCTGACCTGCGTACCCATAATTGTGTCCGATAGCCACGGCCTGAGGAAAAAAAGGGTTTCATTTCAGTCTTATTCTTATGCCATGAAGCACCGTTCATGAATACGTAACGCTCTTTACAAGAAGGTGGTTCGAGGAGTGCGTTAAGCGATTTAATTTCACGTGTTGGAGGATAGGGACGGGCTCTACGTGACGTCATAAGAGCGTACCTTTGGGGAGGAAGGGGGTGAAAAATACAAAATTTAGCGTTATTTATTATATTAACGGCCCCTTAGTCGTCGATGTTTACCCTAGTCCATCGTTTGGAAAAATAGCACATTATTGTTGATCTATTTTCAATATCAATTAATTTTTGAACGACAAGGATAATGTATTTCTAAGAGTCTTTCAAGGCACTCTTACTAGTGTTAACGGATATCCACAAACTTTTGAAATGCTTGCGAATGTTAATGCGACAGATAAAAAAAAGAAAAAAAAGAACGTAAAAAAAACCTTCTTCGTTATTATGCTTCGAAAAATTTGTAATGGATAAATCTCGAAAAAGTTTCAAGAACCTTTTAAGAAATTTTTTTTCCCTACTTCAAATAGCCCACAAGGGCTAATCCTGAGCTTTTAATCCCATCCCCCTTCATCCCTATCAGCCAGTCCCAGGCAACCATCGGTTGAGACCACACGGAAAAAAAAAGAATTGCTGATTCAGCAATTCAATTGCTAAAACAGTGAGTGCAATGTTTCAACGCAGATTTTACAACAAAAAAATGCTACTTTAACCACCCCCGTGGTTAAATTAGTTTACAATGTGGTTAAAGTAGCATTAACTTTAACCACCCCTGTGGTTAAATTAGTTTACAATGTGCTTAAAGTAGCATTTGTTTGTTGTAAAATCTGCGTTGAAACATTGCACTCACTGTTTTTAGCAATTGAATTGCTGAATCAGCAATTCTTTTTATTTCCGTGCATCAAACTTGGGTCACCTGGCCGGGAATCGAACTCGGGACCTCCCGATCATAGAGCTAGCGCTACAACCACTACACCATGGGCGACCGACAGATTAACCGGAGTTTTCTAAGACTTAATGTCAAAATAAAGTTTAATAAACAGGAAAAAATGTATATGTACGATAAATAATGAAATGGTTTTTTGCCCAAATTTTGCTGAAAGTAAATTTGACGAAAGTAAATCCTCGAAAGTTTTTTCTTTTTACTTAAATGTGATCAGCATATTCAAGGAATTTTGAAAAGTACTTTTAAGTAATAATTGCTTTAACGGAGATTTGGAAGATCCTTTCCAACAGGGTTTGCAGCTGCGTGCTTTACTCACAGCAAAGCTCACTGCGTGATTTGTCAAGAACCTTCACTTCTACTTACACTCCCTTTCGATTGGGTACCACCTGGGAGGAGGCGACGGGGACGTCCCGTAAAGGGTTGGCGGCAGGGCGTTGACGAAAAGATGTTGCGGTGTCAGTTGCCCGATAACCTCTGGGAAGACAGGCATATGTGGCGTTTGGGTGTCGTAGAACGCCAGAGTGCGTTATAAAGCGACTTTATATATATATATATATATATAACATACACTCCCCCTTTATACTGAGAGTCAAGACAATGTGAATCCATTTCTGATTGGTTCCCGTATTTTAGGCCTTCACAGTGTCACAAACGGGAATAGAGATTACATTTTCACCGATTGCGAAGATTATAATCTGGAATGGACCAGGGAATCACGGGTTCGGCAAGGAACAAGCGGAATGAGAAGGAACGGAGAAAGGAATTTAACAACGGGCCGATCAAAGATTACAAAAAACGTTCAATTTTTGCAATCTTAATTCTCATTTGTGACTCCATTAGGGGGTGTTGTCTCGACTTTCAGTATAAAGGGACTCTACCCCTAACGACTTTTCAACCTACCTTCATGGACGTATACTAGCAATGGTAGTGCAAACGTGGACGGTTCCTCAAGATCTCTAAGAACTTGGATAAGCACGGAAAGCAACGTTTTATCTGACGGGGCATACTCTTTGTACTTGAACCTATCTTCATCTAATGTCTGCAGAACTCGCAATTTGGTGAATTTTCCGCCCTCTGTGGATTGGACCTCGTAATCTGCATTCGGGGGACGGGCCTTGACCAAAGAGAGAAGGTAATCAGAAGCCGGTGCGGTTGTAGGGAGTAATTGGGAGAGGACCGGAGCCGGTAAGCTGGGTGGTGAATATGATCCTGGTCGTGTCGGTGAACCATCCGAATACGATGACGAAGACGAAGATGACGATGTTCGTATCACACGACGGCGGTGTTTCTGCTTGCTTTCGGCTTCAGTTTGGGTTTTCCTGTATTGGGAAGTTAGACGGAATGTTAGTGGACTTATAAGCCCTGGATAGACGATCAAATTCCGAACCAATTCCGATCAAAGTAAACATGCTGATGACTGATGGTCACCATCTACCATCAAATTTTGACGGGCCGCACATAATCTCTGCATAGACGATCAAATTCCCGAACCAATTTCCGATCAAAGTAGCATCAAAGTGCCGGGAGTCATCAGTCTCAAACTCATTAATTTGCTTCATTTATAAATGAAAACTTGGCAGAAGTGTTTCCTGTGGCAGGAAATGATGAATGGTGGCACTCCATTCTGATCTTACTTTGAACAAATAAGCCCTGCATAGACGATCAAATTCCGAACCAATTCCGATCAAAGTAGACATGCTGATGACTGGTGGTCACCATCTACCATCAAATTTTGACGGGCCGCACTTTTTTGTTCAAAGTAAGATCAGAAAAAGTGCGGCCCGTCAAAATTTGATGGTAGATGGTGACCACCAGTCATCAGCATGTCTACTTTGATCGGAATTGGTTCGGAATTTGATCGTCTATGCAGGGCTTATTTGTTCAAAGTAAGATCAGAATGGAGTGCCACCATTCATCATTTCCTGCCACAGGAAACATTTCTGCCAAGTTTTCATTTTAAAACGAAGCAAATTAATGAGTTTGAGACTGATGACTCCCGACACTTTGATGCTACTTTGATCGGAATTGGTTCGGGAATTTGATCGTCTATCCAGGGCTATAGTCGTTTTAGCCGACTGCACACACAGCAAGTGGGGACCTGCAAGTACCTGCAAGTGGCACATGGGTGCCGCTAGTGTTGAGTGTTGATCGCGCAAACTGCGCGGCCCGCGCAGTTTGCATGCTCACCGATGTAACCGATGAGTCACTTGTACGAGTAGATCCCCACTTGCTGTGTGTGCAGTTGGCTTTTTTTTATGCCGTCGGTCGCTTACCGATGGCATCGCTGTGGTCACGACTGATGGTCGCGCCCGTTTTGAGCGTTCACCACGTGCATAGAGAAAAAAAAGGAGGTGTTTGCATCTTGAGGATTGTGTACCCTGTGACGTAGGTCGGTACAATCTGGTCAGCAAAATCCGGAATTCGAAGTATGAAAAACGGACCATAACGTCCGATTTTTTTTGCTTAAATCACCTCAGGATATAATGTCAAACACTTTATGTGGTATGCATTTTTTCGATAAACTATATACACCATTTCCAAGGAAATCGATGATAAAAGTCGCCGTACCGACCTACGTCATCAAAAAAATTCCAAGATGCCCGAAATGGAAACACCTCCTTTTATTTCTCTTTGCGTTAGTAGTGTACGCTCTTCTCCGTCGTATTGCATCGGGTATGTTACCAATGTATCCATTGGTAAAGGTCCGCACTGCTCCGCGGGAATCGGCGCAATTTTTCGTGGCGGGAAGCAATACCTATTTTCTCAATTTTTTTTATGTACCATTTCTACCTTTTTACTCAAATTTTGTCCACTTTATGTAATGCCTGTAGGCTTGTCTTTGAGAAATTAATATCTTTACGTTTGAAAACTCTGCAATGTACTTTTATTTAATGACTCTTTCAAGGATCGTTCAAATTTTTTGTCGTCGTAGTTCTAGGAAAATCTTTGGGTGCAAAGTACCCCTTCACTAATGACCCCTATATTTTACTCTATGATGACAAGACAGTTCTTGTATATATGTATGTTTCCTAGGTTACGCTCCACGTTTAGTTCAACAGCGCCTTGCAGCGCTCTCTTCCGTCCGCGCAAATATGGAATTATTTCTATGGAATCATTTCCGTAAACCTTTTTGGTTGAATCTGTTTGAAAATGCAACTAAATTTTATCGGCAGCACAAAGAAACTTCAGTGAAATTTCCCGGCAGCTTCGTTGAACAATTTCTCTGTAAAAAAAAAAATAAAATGGTGGCGGAAATTTTTAAACGCCGTAGGTAAGGCACTTCTGCGATACCTTGGTGGGAAAATGACAGTTAATTAGGTATTTCCAAAAGAAAAAAAAAAGCCGCAGGATTTTGAAAACACTATACAATCACGCTGGTTCATTTTTGCTAAGTGCGATCTAACTTTCATTTTTTGGCGAATAATGAAGATTACATGACCATGACGTCATGACCAAACAACTTGTTTGGTATGGTCATGTCAATAGGATGACGGAAGAGAGGCTGCCAAAAAAGATGCTTGATTGGGTTCCTCCTGGGAGGAGGCGTAGGGGACGCCCAGTGAGAGGTTGGCGACAGGGGGTGTTAAGTGAGATGAGGGAGTGTCAACTCCCTGATAACCTGTGGGAAGACCGAGCTTTGTGGCGATTAGGTGTCGTAAAGCGCCAAAGAGCGCTATAACAGCGACTCGTATGTATGTATGAAGATTACAATTAATTCGTGATTCGCGCAAACGGACAGGAGTAAAAACCATTTAATTAGGCCGCGTGGCCAAAATGCCGCATCCATTGGCGGATCCAGAAAATTGGCGACATTGTTTCTTGCAGGGGCCAGGTGCTCCGATAAGAATCGATTATTTAACATAGGTTTAAATAGAGGGAATCCGGTGTTGCCAAATTGCTGGATCCGCCTCTGGCCGCATCGCGCGCTCCTTGTGGAACCGTAGCTTAACACTAGCTTAATACAGCAAATTCACCTTACCCTGAGACCTTGGAGACTGGTCACCTGAGGCATTTGAATTATGACTGAACACTCTGCCGAGAGCAATTTTTGTGCTGAAAATTGCGACCCACATTTAAATTATCATTAAAAATTGAAAAAAACACGAATGTCAATCATTTACTATAAATGAGATAAAATGATTTGTAAAAGTACCACGAAGTTTTCTAGCAATTCTGCAATCATAGGTTTTTGCTAGAACAAAAATAAGCATCAAATAAGCAAAATAAGCTGCTTTAACAATGTCAAGATGTGAAACTAACTGCCGTAGCGGGTAACTCAGCATTTATTAAGTTCTCGCGCACTTTCTTTACAGCCGGAATGTTTAATCGTCAACTTCACTTTTTTTTCAGTGTAGAAAAGCATAAGAACCGCATCGAAAAAGTCTGCAATGCACCATCACCTTCAAAATATCTTTGATTTTTCTTCTCTTGTTCACGTTTCAGTTACAGATACTCTCAGTTACTCTACTAGCATTTAGCTCTTGTCTGAAAGTTTGCGACTTTCATAGAGATAATGCGGTGCTTTTTAGGCGCTCGTCTTTAAAATATTTGCCTACAGGGTTTGGTTGGAAAGAACGCCGCGCTAGAATTTCCATCAACTTATTTGCTTTTTATGTAGATATGCAACATTAAACATTACTGGCTGAAAAACTAAAGAACGCAAACCTCATTGCTTTGAAAATTGGAATTATTTACTGAAAAATAATAATAATAATAAAAATAAAAAAAAAAAACCCACAAATTTCAAGCAAGCATTTTCAGCCTTTTTGCCATCAAAAAAGCTTACGTCATCCTTGACTTGACCTCCCTCCCTCCTCGGCGCCCACCAAGTTCTATTCGATTTTTGAAGTTTCCAATGTCAGACATCCCCCCTTCCCGCTTAAGTGACGTAATTTATGGACGGCTCCTCATAATTTCCCCATAGAATAGTGTGGACCCAGCATTATTCCACCTCTCTGTGCTTTACAGTTCGAGCCACATTTTTAGTGTTTTATCCTTGAGGTACCCTTATGTATGGATATCATCCCATTAGTGTTATTTCACTCACCCCTTGCATTCTGTAGTTTTCTAATTTTTCAGGAAAACTTACCGTTTCTGACATCGGTCTGTCAAATGGCCCAGATACGAAATAGACCGTTTGAATCGTGAGGGTTTTTGTCTGTCTTTCCCGTCTCCTGAATTAGATCTCTGGAACGAAAAATTTTAGATTTCAAAGAGAGTGCGTCAGAGGGTTAGATGGATTGAGGCCAAATTTAACGAGTCGTTTCTTTATACAAGTGTGGCAAAGAGAGTATGAACTTTTTGCGTGTGCTTTTTTTAAAGAACGCGTAAAAATCCTGTAAAAAAAAAGAAAAAGAAAGATGGCAAGAAAGAAAGTCATAAAAAAGTGAGCCTTTTTTGCTTCATCTCCGAGTGCCGTAGCATTCCATCAACAAGTTGCGAAAAGTGACGTGCCACAGATTCAAAGAATCGCGAAGTACTTATTTGAAGGTTTTCAATCTACCGTGCGCTGAGGAGAACTGTCGCATGAAAAGTCGAATCTTCTCAAATTTCCCCTGGTAAAATGCGACTTTCCTAGAAAACTAGTGGATTTTTTTGTTGAATTTTTTTAAAAAAAAGAAGTATTTTCACTTTAATCTGAGCTCCTGAACATTTCAAGGAATAATATTCATGACTCCTAAAGAATGGGCACTTTATTGCAAGGAATTTGGCAAAACTCGAATTTTCATGTTACATATTTCTTTAGCACGGAAGGATTGCTTGTCGATGGGAAAAGCTGACGATGTAAAATTTGAATGACTATTCCTATTTCTCGAAGAAAAAAAGGGAAAACGTGGAACTAATTTCCCATTATCATCTTTGAATGTTTCTGAAAATCGATTTTTGAAGTTTCCTATTCTAAACTTTTCTTTCGCTCTCGAGTTATTTCACCGCGATCCTACTTTTGTTGCAATAAGGAATAAAAATTTGGGCATCAGGAGACCACGGAAATCGGCGGGAACTGCAGCCAATCAGAGACGACTCCCCACATCAATAGCGAGGCGCGATTTATTGGCCATCGATATTTGCCTATTTAGTACCACGATAAAAAATCGATTATTGGGGTTTTCGTTGCAAAATTACCTCTTAGTAGCCTGTGAAAGTATTGGAAATCTAATTTCTAGGTAACACAAATTTTGAATCGGTGATAGAGACTGAAATTCCTCGCCAATTACTTCGCGACTAATTTGTGTGCAGGTAACCGTCGTTTTTGGTCATAGCGGCCAAACTTTATGTCACGTAACAAATGCATTCGTTAGGTATACTAAAGTTCGTATATTTTAACGCCGTAGACTACGGTTTTGACCAAATTTCAACGTGTATGACCCAAAACTTTAGTGTTCCATATTAACGGAACTTAATAGTCTTTTCAATCGAAAGATTTTTCTCAAAGGACCATGCAACTAAACGTCCTACGTTTGAGTCATAAGCATTGCCATACTTTTTACTCTACATGATTTCCCTCTAGGTTTTTATGTGTTTTTCTAATAATGTTTTTTATTATCATTATACAGGGTGATAAGGGTTTTAAGTCCGCACCACCAGCACCTCTCATCATCCTTGTGACTTTTGAATAAATTGAGATAGAGACTCGACTTTTTGAACCCATACAATTTCAAGGGAACCCCCTTGAAAAAGTATGAGAACCTTGGGGGGTTGTAGGGGTGGTAAGGGACTTTTGGATCCCCCTGTAGAGATATTTAAAACATGTATAAAGGAAAAGACTCACCGAACCGCAGAAAACAAACAGACTACACAAGATAAAGAAAAACCAAAGCCAAAGCCGCATTTTGGCGAGAAACGGAACTGACAACTAAGTACTGGCAACATTTTCTTTTATACTTCTTGGTATTCGGCAGGGTCTGTAGTGTTCCTCTACGTCATCCCTCTATTTTTTATTTTACCTAGAATAATACGTCCTTTGGCTGCCATAAGGGCGCAACTACACATAGATATGAGCCTGGAAAAGCATTGATTTGAATGGAGGACAGGGTTCATTGCAGAGTGTAGTTACGCCCTTATGGCAGCCAAGCGACGACTAGTGTAAGAAAAAATTCCCCCATCTGCGGTAGCGGTACCATCTCCCCTGTTTTTTTAATATTGAGAGTAAGGGAGACAGCCATGTGCACTGTGCAGAACTGAAAAAAATCTATGAAACCGAAGCGATGTTGCAATGACATTAAAAATTGAAGATGCGTTTGTCATATCGGTAACATGAGCGCAAAAAATGCATGCTCTGGAC